TACTTCATGGTAAATGCCGTAAATGTTAAATAAGATATTCTTATTAATATGTTTAAGATCTTATTCCGGGTACCGGTGAACCAAGTACCAGGCAAACAATGGGTGCTTTGAATCAGAATATTCCAACTGACAATATGTTCACAACCAGTCAGGATATAGATAAAAAATTCGAAGTATTTCCGGAAGTATACATAAAAAGTGAACCGATCTATAAAACTTCTCCAGAATATGAAACGTATGTTTATCCAATATTTTCGCATCAATTTCTGCTATTATTGCCATAATTGACATATTTTCGCATTTGTACATATTGCTAAAATTTTTTTTAAAAATGTAAAAGTAGTGCAGTAGCTTAAGATATTAGTAAAATACTGGAAATTTTGCAAGTCCGCCCTTTGTAACTAATTAGTTAATTACCGGTGTAAACAAATGTAATGTGTTTAATCTAGTTCGAATTTTATCATTCAGACTAAATTGCTTAGGTAATGCTTTATCTGATGTTTTTCATGAAAATTTTTGATTTGTTTTCTTCATCTAATTTTTGCTTAATTTGCGAATTCTATAAGTAATTGGCCGGTTAATAATTTGAAAACTGTAGAAGTAATTAGCTAATTAACAACAATTTAAACTTCATATGTTTGATCATTTTGATTAAATTTTCTTCATAAATTCTACAAATTAATTTTATTTCAGTGGTAGATATCGTTTTGTACCAGTAACGGGTCAAATGCTCAGCCAACGATTGCAGACATGTCGTGACCTTCAGCTTAGTGAACGAAGTAAGTTATATTTTGTTCTCCTTCACTTATTTTGAACTTTTTGTGGTACAAATTTTAGAACACATACTGTTTATCTAAAAATAATTTTTGTTTTTTCTTAATTCAATGAAAATTTCCAATTTTACAGCAAACTGGCAACCATTGCAAAACTCATACGAACAACAATATGGTATTGATTATTGTCCGGATAATCCGAGTCAAATAATTCAAGAATGTGGTGATTCTATTTCATGCCTTAACGATTACATGCTGTTTAATGCTCGAGTACTTGGCATGGAGGCACAAAATAGTTGGAATTCATTTTCAAATGATAGAATGCATGCTTCAAGACATTGTTAGTATATTTCGAATTTTTGCACTTATTTATTGCTCTGTTAAATGCTCCTTTTTTTCCAGCAAATTTATGGAATTTAATTAATTCATTGTATTGTAGATAATAGTTGTGGACCGATCATGATCGAATATCCAGAATACCTGATGAAAACGCCGGTGCTATCATCCGGTTATTTGGAAGGTGATGTGGCACGCTTCGATTGCTTCCAAACACATTGGATTAAAGGCGATTATGAATATAAATGTAAATTTGCTTATGTTATATTACTAATATAAAGTTGAATTTTAAACTTCATTATTCTCTTATCATCTGAAATATTAAATTCAATTACCATTATAGGTGGTATTGTTGTGGACTACAACGATCCGCATAATTATCGATTTGAATGGAACAAAGGGTCACAACCGTGGTGTCGTTCACGTGAAAAAGATAATTTGTTCAAATGGCTTACCGCGATATTCTCAACCATCGGTATAATTATGGTATGTCTTGAATGACAAATTTTGCTTCATATCATTTAACAATGGAAAATTCTAAACAAAATTTAACTATCATTTTATATAAACTAATGGTGTAAAGTATGCCTAAGGAAAAGTAAGTTTTACGAAGAAAAAAATTTTCATCCGAGAAATGCCGGGAGTTAGTCATTCGGAATCGTTATTCTCTTTTGGTTATGAATGCAGAAAAAAGGAAGTAAAAAAGATCGAGAGGGAGAAGATGAATAAGAATTGAGTATCAAAAAATAATTTGAAATGAAATATTGCTTTAGGCAATTGTCCTTATATTTTTGTGTTGTTGGACTATGAAACAGAAAAAGCGGCAGGAAGCGGAAGATAAAATCTCATCATTATACAAAGCACCATTTCGAAGTTCTATGGTAAGCCGTGACTGGAGGGTAAATGCTTTCATTAATTAGGTCATTTTAATTTATCTTAAATAAAAATTAATTATAGATAAAAGTTCAAAGTTTAATAGTAAAAGTGTGATGGTAGTGAGGCGACGGTTGGATCAGTTGTAAAAACACAGAATATTTTAGAATAGGTAAATTAGTTAATTTATTGGTATTTAATACAATTAGTTTTCAGGGCAAAAATCTCAGCAGTATCTTTGTAATATTTAATGTTGTAGTTACATAAAAAGATATTTTTAATATGAATTCTGAGGAAACATATTTTTTTTTCTTGTAATATAACAAACGCTAACATATTATAGTCCTCGGAAACTAGGCCATTCACGAAGGTAAGAACAGATTCGATGTCAAGCGAAACGAATGGTATGTACCATGGTAATGAGAATGATTCGCAGTATCGTGGAGGACCAATTGGGGGTGCTGTTCCCGTATTAGCTGATGGTAGTGCTGGATATCGCGGACAATATCATGCTGTTGATGCTAGTGCACCGTATCATGAGCAATATCGTGAATCGGTACCCAACTTATCCAGGAGGCCATCGAGTCCAGTCAAAACTGTCATACGGAGCAACAAGTTAGTTTTTCAATTCGAATTTCAACTTTAAACTCTTAAATTTTAATGAACAATACCGCTAAACACTGGATTACATTCAAAAAAAGATTCGTAGAATGGACATATGGAGAAAACGCTCAATGAATGCTCAATAACTAAATTATTTTTCAGGACAGTTCCAACTGGAATCCATATTATGCCACAATCGACATCATCAACGCCACCGGTACCGGTGCATTCCATTGTTACCAGTGAACAAAGTGGAAATGATCATGCTCAACTTCTCGGCCTTAATACCAGTGTTTGAGGCCAGCTTGATAATATTCTATTCTTGCAAAAGGATGCAAATATCATAAGTTTAAAATTTATTAAGTGTTGCATTTAATTATTTTCTACTTTTATTTTTGAAAATTTGTTATCGCTTGATTTGTATTTCTTTGCAGAATAAAAATTGTAATTTAAAATTTTCAAATAACTCCTTTCTCATTAATTTCTCCATTTTGAGGTTAAAATTCATTAGGACCATTAGGGACCTATTCGTCATTTTCTTGTTGTTAATTTTCCGGTCAAATCAAGTGGTTACATCAAATACACATCAACGATCTAATCGAATGATGCCAAGTATAAAATGAATCACTTAGTTTCATATATTAATTATATTTATTTCATTAGCATTTTCAAGTTTTGCTATATATTTTATCCTGCATTATTTGACAAAAGCAAAAATTCAAATATCAATTTTAAAATCATAATTTATATTTATTAAATTAAAAAATACTTTTGCCATAGTTATTTATGCCAGTCTTTGAACTCATCTTGTTATCATATCATGTTGTATAAAATAAAACAAATTATATCAACAAATTCTTGAATTATTCAATGGAAGTTGTTTTTTCCTTCCTTTTTCTTGCATGTTAAAACTTTATTCCTGAAAGTTTTGCTAAGATTGCTTACTTAGCTTATTTATTACAACAGGCTAGCTTAGCTAGCTTACAATAGCTTATTTGTTGTCAAAACTTTATGAATAACCCTCGTGGTAGCATATTACTTCCATACTTTTCAAAAAAATATTAATGATTTAAAGTCATTCCTCCCCTTTAGCCTTTCTTTGTTTTGTTTACTCTTTTTACTAAAAACAAAAACTGCCTAATAAAATAATGACGACATATCGACTGACTCGTTTTAAGTAATTATCATATATACAAATATACAACACTATTAAATGATTATTATGAGAAATCAGTGGTGGAATTTTCATCAGTTCCAAATTGTTAACCTTTCTTTTGTAAACATTCCAACTGTTGTAAAATGTTAGATGTATTGTATCATTTGATGAAATTTAATTTTTATCGATTATTGATTAATCACATATGACCTCATTTTAATGAAGTAATTGAACCAAATTGTTTTGTTGTATCATTTTTGTTTCCAATTTTTCTCGATAAAATATTTAAATTAATAATTAGTACAAATGGATAAAAAGTTATTCAAAATTAACTTTTTTTAATTTGTAATATCGGTTTAATAAGAAAATAAATAGTTCAATTTTAGATATGGAAAATATTTAGAATTGCTATATTTCAGCAATTCTACATATCATACACATATAAATTACATCGACATATCTAATAATTCTTTTGTTCATCTTATTGATAAATTAATTACATTTTTTTTAAAAGAAATTTATAAGTAATTCAAATATTGTTTGTCAAATAACTTTGAATTACAGGAATAAAATAGCAAAAAGAATGATAAGAAAACCATATTTTGTTTGCTGATTGGCTAACAATTTCAATTTTCACTTATACTTTTCTTTCATTGTTAATTGATAATATATTATCAGTTTAATTATTTCGTTTATAAATTAAAAAAAAAGAAAAATTAATAGTAATACATACCATAAAAATTATTTGACAATAAATTTGATATTCCTAATCAGTGCAACATTTTCGTTTCTGATATGAAATTGATAACCATAATATACTATGAAGAAAAATTCATAATGTATTAAATTCGATAAATCGCAAGAATATATGATGTATAACCGGTTAAGATATATATACATATATCACTTCATTTCTCTTTCACACTCTAATTTTACCTTTCAAAGCCTTTAATAATGCATAAAATATTGACATAAAAGCCCTCCAATATAACTAACGTGTTATATTATCAATGCGTAGGTTTCGTCTTCATGTGTGGTTGAAAAACTTGAAATTTGTTATCAATTTCCTTGGAATCCACAATACGTCATCATAATTGAAAGATGTATTACACCGAAAGTGAAAACATGATTGTTTGAGATGCACTGCACATATTATCAATATTTAATTACGTGAAAATTATCACTTATCATATTATCATCGAAACTTAATAAACCGATTAGCTCATTTTCATTAAACACAACATGTAATTTAGACATTTATTATTTTATATGACAAATTTGAAATCGTAAAATTTAATTAATTATGCATTTTTGAAACAAATATTTCAAAGAAATTTCACATGATTTTAATTAATTGAATATTATGAAATGATAAATATGAAATTATAAATAACTAAAATTATCGTTCGCAAGGTTTATAAAACTGTCAAAAGTATAAAGCGATAAAAATAAAACAAAAAAAAAATTATTGGTAAACAATGGAAAAAAATAAAGGAATGTAAAATAATGTAATTATAAAATTTTAATTTACCTTATGGTAAAATGAAGTGAAAAAATATTGCATTGCGATATTGCGTTGTTAACAGCGGGAAAAATCAATAAGAGGAAATATCAATTTCTTCGTCACTCTATTTTTTTTTTGATTTTAAAATTAAAATGAATTAATTAATTGATGAATGATCGATAATTTGAAGATGAAAATTTAACACAATTATATACAAGAATAGATATTATTATTATTATTATTATCATTTTATAATCAAATCTTATTTAAATTTATATGAAAGCGATAAAATAGTTTGATGTAAAATTCCAATTAAATTTTCAAAACTTGTTCGTCATGAATATTTTAGTATACTTTTTCATAACTCTTTTGGATTATTTTTAATATTAATTCCATAGATGCTTAGATTCATCTACAAATTATAATAACAAAAATAAAACTTGACAGATTTTTCAACATTTTCCTGCATCTTACCTTTTAATACTTCCTCTCTCTCTCTCTCTCTCTCTTCTCTCTCTCTCCTTTTCTCTCTTAACTTTTCTCACTTTCATCATGCTTAAATAACACAATAAATAAATAGTTTGATGAATGAAAAGAAATTAATAACATTTACCCAAAAATTCATATTAAAAATAATTTTTCGTCAGAACTAGTTAATGCTGTTTAGTATCAATGCTTCCTCTTTATAAAATGGCAAAATAATTGAAAAAGCTTATTTTATTCTCAAAATAAGAAATCTCTGAAAACGTCATCTTTTAAAGTAAGCTAATTAAAATGCTGAAATTGGAGGATCGTATTAAAACTTATAAACTTATTGTCTATTCCTCGTCATTCTTCTTTATTTTGAGTATTTTATCATTATGTATAACATTACCGATGGTTTATAATTATGTTCATCATGTACGACAGAAAATGAATAGTGATATCATATTTTGTAAGGTAAGTGTTAATGTTATCTTATAAAGTTTATTTATTTCTTTACCTTTCTTTTTTCGACTTATTTATTTGATCAGTTTAGAAATATAAAATAAACGTTCTTTCTTTCTTCCTTTCTTAATTCATTTCATACAAATACCAAATTAGTAATATTTCAATAGTTATTATTTCATTTAATTAATTATTTAAGGCACTATTTCAATAGTTATTATTTCATTTAATTAATATCAAAAAATTATTTAAGGCACAATTTCAATTTTTCGAAGATGCCTAATTTTTTAAATCAATTTTAATTCTTTCAATGTTTCCAATATAATAAATAATAGATCTTATTTTGAAGTTGCAAATAAAGGATAAAAATTTATTTGCTGCTATTGAAATAGCAAATTTATAAGTTTATTTCACATTATAATTATATTAGCATGCTTGATTCTATTATCAAAATTTCGAATTTCCAAAAATTTTCCAGTAAAAAACTTCTCTTAACATTTATAACAACTTTATTTTTCAATGTCAAAATTTATCTGATAAGGACTTTTTTGGGAATAGTAAAATCTTATCATGGGATCTATGGAGTTCATGAGATCATGGGATCCGTTAAGGTTGCTTAACGTGTAAATCATTAATCAAATTTATTGGGTATTAATTTAATAAAATCAAATGTTATTGAATATTAAATTAATCAGTTAAGCAAACATCTCAATTAATTAACATTAAAATTTTGCTGATATTGCAATTAGCATCAATAGCCACTTATAATTTAAGATGCTGAAAACATTGAAGTATTTTGAAATTTGAAAATTGCTCAAATAATTAAGTAGGAATATTTGAAAATATTCTTATTTAAATGCTACCAACATAGGCAATTTAAATTGCTAGTTATAAGTTTAATTATAAGCTTTTCGCTATTTTTTAAAAGAAGAATTTGACTTACAAATATCAAGTTGCTATTATTATTTATAAAATGAAATCAGTGCTACGAAATGTTTGATAAGACAATTTTGAATTTATGAATTTAAAAATCGTTTTTCCATCTTTCTTATTCGTTTCATTTTTGCTTCCTTTCGCTTTTGCTATACGACAGAATCGAGTTTCTGAAACTCATAATTTGATTTATCTTTGCTTACTTTGGTAAAGATTAGCAAAAATTTGGGATAATTTCTGAATTATAAAATTGCTGAAAAGTGCCAACTATTTTTAATTTAAAAAAATTAAATTAAAAATAATTTTGATTGAAAAAATGATACACATTCCAGAGTTCTGTAAAGAATACTTGGATGGAAGCACGAGAGCTGCGAAACAATCCAATCGAACTGCTGAATAGAACAGTTCGACAAGCTGGCTATGATATGACTTCAGAACAACATGCCCCAGGAATTAGTGGCGGAATTGGTGGCAGAATTAGTGGAGGAACTGGTGGCAGAACTAGTGGAGGAATTAGTGGCGGTAGCTGTGACCGGTGTTGCCAACCTGGTCCTCCCGGTCCAGAAGGACGACGAGGAAACCCAGGGAAACAAGGACGTCCTGGAGCATCTGGACGCCCAGGAAATCCAGGACGACCACCACCACGACCATGTGTACCAGTTACTGCACCACCATGCAAGCCGTGTCCTCCTGGGCTACCGGGTAGACCTGGTCCAGTTGGACCAATGGGAGAAACGGGACCACCAGGACAAGCAGGAGATCCAGGACCCGATGGACCAGCAGGAGGACAGGGTATGAAAGGTTCGAAAGGTGGTGAAGGACCAAAAGGACCTCCTGGACCGCCTGGTAAACAAGGCATGGACGCACAAAATGAAGCACTACAGCCAGGAGAACCTGGTCCTCCAGGTAATACTTTTTTTGATTCTATAATCTCTGATGTCATAAAATTTCATTGAACATGTCACATTTTAATGTCACATTGATTTATGCGAGGACATATTATAGTTGTAACTATTTTAAGGTGATCAAGGGCCAACAGGGCCACGAGGAAAGGCCGGAAGGCAAGGCAAGAATGGTGCGACTGGACCACAAGGACCCAGAGGAAATCCTGGTGCAGATGGTAGACCAGGCAGAGACGGAAAACCAGGTGAACGAGGACCAGCTGGCAGACCTGGTACAACCGGTGAAAAGGGTCTCTGTCCAAAATACTGTGCAAATGATGGTGGCGTTTTCTTCGAAGATGGTTCACGCCGTTGATAACCATTTTTTATTAATTTAAATAATTGATAATTTTCATAAAATTTATTTCAACATATTTATCCGTCATTGGTGCTTTAAATGAATAATTGCTGGCTGATAAAGTTTCATCGATATTTTTGATTTGGAATTTGCATAAAAATAAAAAATTTCAGTTTTTTATTGCTTAAAAAATGAATTCCAAAAAAATCGATAAATTTTCCTTTTTCGGATACTACAAATTGATGTTTGCAAGCAATAAAAAGGCTAATTTTTCTCGGGAAGAAAACAAAAAATTTTAACAAACTTAAATAATCAGTGAAATAGTATATGTTGTGATTATTATAATTTATCATTTCTGTCTAACTAAGAAAAACGATTTTACTTTTTCTCTTTGATAAACGATAAATTAAAATTGTACTAAATTTGATAATTAGGATCTTTTAAATTAAGAGCTGAAAATAAATTGATTAAAAAGAAAAGAAATTAAGGCAAGATAAAAGTTTGATTTGAATTGATCTAAACATACTAGTAAGTCAAACTCATTAAATTAATTGATATCTTTTCAACACTAAATTAATTAGTTTCCGATTTCTAACGATGACGAACAAAAAAATCAATAATCGATATTCGAAATCAATAATTTGATGCTCTAAGAGTGTTGAAACGGAAGAGAAGGACAAAATGGGAAAGGTAAAAAAAGGTAAAAAAGATCGAGAAATAAAAAATGCTCAACAACAATAATAAAGCAGTTTTTCATTTCTTTTTTTCCCCCCAAATAAACATTTAACTATTATATTTCCAGTTTCCGGATTCCAGATTTATTGTTCGTGTTAGCTCCAAAAATCAATAACAGAATTAAACTGTTAAATATGCTCTGTGTGCATACATTTTATGTTGTGATAGTTCAATTTAAACCTGGTTATAACAGGTAGAAAGGTGATTGATGAGGTGTTTATATGTTTTTCGACGAATGCAGAGAATTTGTTGGAATGCAGAGAGCAAATGAAATTTTGAGTTGTTATAATTATCTTAATTTGATGAAATGGGTTGCGCATCCATTTTCTATAGATGATTCATTTATTAGAAATATCACTATTATCCTGTTTTGCCTGCATTTGTTTTACTATATATACTTAAATGGTATTTTGATTTTTGTTACTTTTCAATTTTCATATTTTTTGTTATATTATTATTAATTCAAGTTTTGTTTTGTTTTTTACATTTATATTTTGTAATTAACGATAAATTAAGTATTAGTTTTTCTAGGCATAATTTATTGCAATATCTAAAAATTTTTATACTTTCATTTTTAAAATTTATCTACAGTTAAGTTAATAAGACAAATAATGTATTACAAAGGAAGAGAGAATTTTATATGATTGAAATCTTGTATGAAATCTGTTTTAGATGTTATTTGAAAATAGCAACGATAAGGTAAAGCTGTCATGAATCAGATGATTCATCAGATGAGAATTGATTACTAATAATTCTTGCTAAATGAATCGATTTCAATTAAATGAAAATATAAATCGTTTTGAAATAAATGAAATTAAATTTTATAGGTTCAAATTGTAATTATGCATCAATGGCAATTTTTCATTCTACTTTATGTGGAAGCTAGAAGTCATGCTCAAACTACAGTAATAAGCAACTTTTTTCATCATTTGCAATAATTTACATTTTCAAACGAAAGAAGATTGTAACTTTAAGATATTATATATATTTTTGATATTATCCATAATGAAATTATATCTAATTTTACATTTTTTTAAAATTTAATTAGTATTGCTTATTTTTCTAATAAAACAAATGAAGTTCAAATTTGTATTTTTTTTTTCAAATATTCAAAATTTTTGAGGATAAAGTGAAACAACAATGGAATGTTGTAAATGGTATTACTACTATTACTACTACTAATATTACTACTAGTGCTTCTGCTACTACTATCACTACTACTACTACTGCTACTATTACTACAACAACTACTACAACTATTACTACTGCTACTATTACTAGTACTACAACTACGACAACAACTACTACTACTACTTTTACTACTATTATTACTCCTACTCCAACTATTCCTATTTCATCTACCAAATTTTTTGAGTAAGTTAAAAGAAAAGAACTTCAATAATTATTTGCTGAAATTTATAATAATATAACTGTTTCATAATTTTTAGAGAAGTATCAGTTCATCCATCAAATGATGATGTAAATGCTTATTGTCGAAATGGTGGTGTTATGATTGGAAATGGTTGTATTTGTTTTCATCCATATACTGGAACAAGATGCTTAGATTTCGCTTGTGGTATTTCCTTTTTTTGTTTTTTAAATCAAATTATTACTATTTGTTCGTTTTGTTTTGTTAGTTTATAAAAAAATTTAATTAGCCAAAAATTATAAATTATTAAAAAACTTAAATAACATTAATTTTTTCTTCATTGTTTTCCTATAATGGGAATTTTTCCTTCATTTCATATAGCACATGGTATATCAGTTGGAATTCGTTACGATCCAAGTAGTTTATTCTTTAATAAACCTTGCATTTGTGATGAAGAATGGAGTGGTGATTTATGCGATATATTAACGGCAAATCAGGCAAGCAATTCCTCAGAATTATTTCATAATTAATAATGTATTAAGTTAATAATTTTATGTTTGAAGTATTTAAATTTTATCAAATATACATATTTTTTTCTTTCTTATATATCATATTTTATATCTTTTGAAAAAGTAATCCTATCTTACTATATTTATCATTAATGCCTATAAGATCTGCAGGGTGAGATATGTGTTCTAACTTCAACTTTACTTTTATTTTATTATGCCAATTAATTATTAACGATCAATTCTAATATATGGAGTTAAAAGAAACTAAGGATTTAGTATACAACGTGAAAGTTTTTCTTTTGTAATAGTTTAAAATATGTTTATAGTCCTTTAATCAATTGTAACAATTAAACATCGCTACTTTATTTGTACTAAAATATTTGCTAAGATTTTAAGACAAAATAAAATTCATCAATTTTTTGCATACTGTAACTGTCAATTATATTTATCCATCCCACCAACTTCATAGCGTAGTTGTTACTTTGCTGCAAAAACTTTATCGACTTTCGTTCTCTTTTCTGCATTCGGACTACTCTTCACATCTTTACAAATTACTGTTATTCTTAAATGTTGAAAATAATTGATTAATCCTTTTAAATCTCTATTTCCAAATTGTTTCATAGATCTCATTCTCTTTTTTCCTGTTAAAATATTAAGACTATTTTCCTTTCTCTTTTTTTTTTGAAAAATTACAACTGTTTCTTTAACAATTCATCCTGTCAATCTGTCAATAAGCCTAGTGGAAATACTTTGATAAACGGAATTATACCATTAATTTCCTTACTGATATCTACAAATATTTCGAGAAATTTGAGATAGTGAAAATTATCATTCAGTGCAACGATCGTGGTGAATTCAAAAATGGCCGTTGTCATTGTGCGGGACACTTTTTTGGCTCACAATGTCAATATGTCAGCCGATGTGACCATGGCAAAAGGAAACACGGAAGGTTTTCACTTTCAAATTTTTTTCTTCCTTTTTTCTCACCGAAATTTGCAAATATTTAAATTTGTAACTTGCAAGATTACAAAAATTAAATTCAATAATGAATCGCAATTTATTTCAGATGTCTATGCGATGACGGTTGGAAAGGAGATTATTGTCACGACATCATTTGCCAGCATGGTTATCCAGGTAAATTAAGCGTCCCACCAAGTTGAGTGAAGAATTTTGGAAATGTAACTGGAGATTCTAAGCTGAATATTTTTTCAAGTATGGAGAAAAGATCTGTGAACATTTGTTCATTAATTCAATTTAAAAAAAAAAATGAACGGTGTATATCCAGTGTCCTGTGCACACATAATCTGAGTAAGACTAATTAATCCAACGCAATTCTAACAGAATTTACATTAATTAAAAATTTAAGAATTCAGATATCAACAATAAAAGCGAATCATGTGTTTGTCCGGCACGATTCACTGGAACTCACTGTGATCGTTGCTCCCAAGAAGGACCTAAAATCAGGCCATATCCAGAATGCAACATTGATATCTCGAAAAGTAAAACAAAACAGCAACGACAAGAAGCAGAAACACAGGTATCATCATTTTTTACCACCAAAGAAAAATGGGTTTAAAATTGCTGTCATATGAAGATACATGCCAATTTATTCATTTAATTCCAATGTTCATTTTTTCCAAAACAATAATTGAATAATCCAATGTTAACGCTGAAAACTGGATGATGATTTTGCAGTTCCGATTGCGACTAACGATTGTGGGAGTTACAAGCTTTTTGCTTATGCTTCTGATAATGACAATGATTTTCTTCCATCGACGTAGAATTAATAGAAGACAACGTTCAGGGAGAGAAAATCTTCGACAGCGTGAATATGAAATCCGGAAAACAATCCTTGAAAAAGCTGCACGGACTACAGAATGCCTGAATGTTGATCAGAGGTAATAATTTGTTTAGAAATGCCGTTGATTATCCGAATATTTTAACCCCGGATTTCATAAACACAACCACCATCATGTAATGTGCTGGCAACTCTTCAGTACATTCATCAAGACTTACATTTCTGCACTAAAATAATATGAACACCTAATTCCTAGCAATTATATTGAAAGCTAACTTTTACAGGACGGAATATACCGAAGAGGAAGACAGGAGTTGCAGAGATCGTATTAAAAAGAAACACAAAAGATTCTCATTCTTCTTGTAGCTACCAAAATAAACTCTACAAATGTTCACATATATGATTTGGAATCGTCGCTCAATAACCCGCAGTCTACAGGTGATCACAGAATTCAGAATGAAGTTTAGATTTTTTGAATCAGAATTAAGAGAAATCAGAGGAAGTTGACTAACATCATGCTTGACCAAAAATTTCCACTGCTATTTTGAATTTTAATTGAATTCTTTAGATTGCCAAAAAACATCCCTTAATTGCTTTACAAATTTATTCTGTATCTGCAACTGACCTACTATACAAATCAATAATTTGCTGTTAATATCTTATTAATTAATAAAACATATGCAATATATAAAGTGTTGGTTGAGCCAGATACATCCAACAGTCACTTAATCTTTTTCATTCTTACTGCAGTTATCTCTTTAAGAAATAAAAGGACTACATTTAAAATTATGAATCTAGGAAAAAATTCATCGAAATGAAAAATTCAGGTGTGCCTATGAGCACTCATTTCGTTCTGTAAATGCACACTGCGATTAGTCAAATCTAGGCATTACCAAACAAATAAATAACATATAAACTAATATCATATATTACGTAATTCCCTAATAACTCAAGCGATATTCTTGCCGACTTAAAATTAAATTAAATGAACAAGCCATCTCGGTTTTTTAAACCGAACAAAAAAGCTTCACAATTTACATGCAATGGATACTTTGTGAGATCAGAACCTAGTTCACAGTGAAGAAAAACAAAACCAAATGATTTACAACGAACAAAGCTACAAGCAATGAAAATTATCGCTTGGAATTAGCGTCTAAAGAAACAGTTAATAAAGTAATATACAAGTCACTATATCACGAAATGAAACTTTGCAAACATAATAATATAAAAATAGATATTTCTTAATGATAAAACAATTTAAGAAAATTGTTTCAGCGAAGAAAAACATGAAGAGGTTCAAACAAAAAGTGTTAGATGTGATTCAAAAAGTAGCACGCCCTATTATAACCCCATATAAAATTTTCAACAAATTTAGGAAAAATGTATCCAATCAGACCTATGTGCTTTGTACGTATTGTTGTCACTTTCCTTAGTACTACCATTACCATCTCCTAGAACGTTGGAAACAAATATCCCAACAAATGCCTGCGCTTGAGCAAGCTCATTTGCATCCTGTACATTGTATGTTTTGTAGAAATCCATGGTCATCAGAACATTGTATTTGGGCCGTTCGTCCTTGCCCTTGATTAGGCTGAAAATTATTAGTTACATTCTTAATCATGAAGTTTTCGAAAAAAAAAATAGAAGAAAAACGATTAGTTTGTTCACTAATACGGGTTTTCTTTTTTTCAGTTAAACCTCAGGCCAAATAACGACTTAGATTTCACGAAAGTAAGGAAAATGAAAATTACCAGTGGTTGATAAATGTAACCAAACACGTGGAATATATTCCAGGTGGCATAATTGGAGGCTCACCATTCACCACTTCTTGCAATTGTTGAAATGGCGAATCCCAAGCTGAGAATGGAAATCGTCCTGTTGAAACTTCAAACTGGAAATAAAAAGCTATCTACTGTTGGATTTATGTTGTCAAGCCAAATAAAATTAATTAATTTACTTTCTTTACAGGTTTACTGAACCTGATGAATTCAAACATGCCTAGGTTATACACTTACTAGAGTTATGCCGAGTGACCAAACATCAGAACGAACATCATACGGCTCATTCGATTGGAGTCGTTCAGGCTGTAATGAGTCAACAATGAATGATATTATCTATAGGAACTATATTAAATTCCACTTAATTTCTGGAGTTCAATTACAAAATAATACAGATTTTTTGAAAAGAAAACAACACACCGCCATATATGGCCGGCAACCTGCATCCTGAGTTTTAGCAATGGAATCGATTAAGTGGCCGGCTATACCAAAATCACATAGTTTTATATGTCCCTTCCGATCCAGCAAAATATTGGATGGTTTAACATCTGAAACTATGCAGATGATAAGCAGAAAAATCAACCGAAATTATAGAAATCGACACTTCGAAATTCTGGAAAGATACAGAATTAATTAAACCAACCTCGATGAATTATTTTTAAATCTTCCTTAAGATAGCTGAGAGCGTTCACTGTCTGAAATAGTCAACGTTACATAACGCTACGCTGAAGCCAGCTAATCTTATTTGCGAACAGAATCTTTGAAAAAATATCTATCCAAAAAATAAAATATCTAACTATAACTTTCCTCACGACACTTACCAAATTTTTGGAGAAATAAACTTTCCAAATCTATCCAGTTTGAATAAAACTTACAGAAACTGCAACATATCCAATAATATCTTCCGGTAGACAATTCTCTTTTTCATATACTATTTTATAAAGATTTTCTAGAGAAATATCCATTAATTCCATGCATATCCAACAGTCACCCTATAAAACTTTCATTTTCAATCAAGCAAAGTCAGGAATATTGAAAAAGTAAAAGTTCAGATAAAGAGAGGGGGGGCGAAAAAAATAAGAAATTTATTAACTTCGGTAAAGATAGCACCATAAAAGCGAACAATGTTTTCACACTGGCTACTCATAATTGCTTCAAGTTCCATAAGCAAGTGTTTCTGCTCTGTTGAGTTCACAGTATTCGATCGGATACGCTGAATAATAAATTTGTTCTAAATAAAACAATCTCAAAATTCAGTAAAAATAGATAACATTTTCAAGATCAAATTTTTATACAAAACATCGATATCCTTCAAAGAATTCTCACTTTAACAGCTAAAACATTTCCAGATTTTATATGAAGCATCCGGCTAACCGTTCCAAAATTCCCACGACCAATCTCACCTTTGTCGATGAGATCATTACATGTAAATTCATATTCTTCATCCGCCGAAAAACGTAATTTACCTGCGGAATGAGTTCGCAAATATGCGCTGAAATACATGTCTAAACTTTTTATGGGATATAGTTTGTGATCTGTATTCTACTAAATAACCAGTCCTGCCTTATTCAGATTATGAAGTACACAGCTGTATGAATGGAACGAATGAAACAGGAAGCCGGTTCCTAACCTAACAATTTAAAACTTCGTATAATATATACATCTAACCCCAAAACTGTAACGTAAGATATATCAGATTGTAATTCCAATTACAACAAATTATGATGCTCACCAGTTGCCAATATTCATTACGCTTATACGAACCGAGCGTTGCAATCGAATTTTACGCATTTTACAGGGGAATTAACAGTTTTTCATTGAAATAAGACTTGCAAATTTCAACTGATTTTGAAAGTTTAGATAACTAACAGCTGTGGTGATGTCTTCACATCGGGTAACGGTGGGAAGTCGAGCTTTAAATTGAAACGTCCCAGGTCAAGTGAATCCACTCGTTCGGCCATCTTTTCCGGCTGATGTCCTTTCAAAACTATCGTAATTCAGTTAGATAAATTATTAGTAAAACTTCACTACAACCATGCATTTCTTTTCGAACAATTCACCATTGTATATCCTTAAAAAGTCAATGCAAAATGAAATAAATGTGGAAAATTCATCCATTCAATACCGTACCATGAAAAAGATAAATAATTTAAAGGATGAAAAAAATTTTAAATCAATAAAATTAGACGAATGGTGAGAGAACAGTGGTACTCCACTGCTGTACTGACAAAAATCCGAGCTATCCCAGAAAAATAATAATATCGGTATTCTCGCGTTTGGACCAAAACTGGGACATCCCAATGCTCCCTCCTATTCTCATCAGGGAAATAACGTTTGCGTAGTGGCCGTACCACAAGCCAGTGTAGTATGACGCTCGTCGCTTACATGCTTACATGGGGTGACAGGCTTGTTCGCTTGGAATTGTAGGCGATGTTGGTTGACGTGTTTATGTAGGGTTCGAACTCTTCTGTTCTTTTAGTGATGTGTCCAGGACAAAAAAGTGAGTCCCAGAGAAATTGTAGGAATCCTTCTGACCTTTAGCAGCTATTCTGCAATTTCGTCATCCTCACTATGCTGCGGTTGACGTATATCTCTCTAACTGATGCTTAGATTTCACATAAAGAAGTATGTACTGGATACGGACCTTTGCATTCGTTATATTTTTTATTAGCAAGTGAGAAGCTCAAGTCAGCGGAAAATTTTTAAGTTTTTTTGGCACATAAATTTTAAAATATGTGTGGTTACGATTTCGTGACATTTCTTTCCGATATTTCATGCTTTGACTCATACTTCTTGTTTTACAATGTGTACCTCAGAGCTTCAAATTTTCGTTAATTTAAATTACTTTTTCAGCAATATAGTGATCAGCAACCGTTTGATTTCACTATAGACTCTTAGCGCATTGGAAAGTTTTTTTGGTGGTCATTGAGATAGGATGAGATTTTCTGCAGCGACTAGGAATTCATGCTCTACAGTGGGTAGGATTGGTATCCATCGTGGCTATTCAGCAGAGCAAACAACCATTGTAAATCATTGCAGTAGTAATAGTCTTTTCATTCTTTCCTTCAAGTTGATTAATTTCAGGTAATTAATGGACATATGATGTCCGTATTTCATGATGAAATTGAGATCGAAGATTTTGAGTACGATGAGTCCACCGAATCATACAGCTATCCGTGTCCATGTGGAGATCGTTTTGAAATTTCAAAGTAAGCGATTTAACATACTTTTGCTAGGTATCTTTTTATGAGCTTAACTGTTTGATTATGTGATTTTAAAAATATATTTCAAATTTAGCTAGAGGCGAAAGCCAACTCATCAGTTCAGCTTTTCTAAGTGCGGGTAAGTTTTGTATGGCAGAATTCTAAAGGAAATAGCATCCCTTGGGATTTAAATCCTAAAGAGTAATTAACTTTGAACTTCTTCAGTTTTCTTAGTCTTTTTCCTTCATATTAGTTTGCATGCAGCTGCACGTGTTTTTCCAGGGAAATGTTAGAAGCTGGTGAAGATGTTGCCACATGTTCCAGTTGCTCATTGATTGTTCGAGTTATTTATGATCCAGATCTGTTCATCAATCTGGAAATCCTACCGAACATCAATATTCGAAGAGCAGAAATGATCAGTGTATGAACTATTGATATGGAATGCACTTTAAAGTGTTGGGACGAAAGTACTCTAGATGGGATTAATTAAAATTACTAAGTTTGTAAAATATGATTCATTTTTATACTTTTATATTTTGTATTATTTTGTAATTCCTACTGGGAGTAAAACATACTGTTACATATGTGAAATATGCACGACAAATTATGCAAAGAATGGTCTGGGTTTTGAATAGTTCCTTTGCTTGAGACTGGTTGTTTAGGATTGATTGTTGGGAACCTACTGAACCGCTTACGCGCAGTTTTATTACAAATTTTATATGAGTGCAGGAATGGGGAATGTAAGTCGCCAACTTTTTCTTTTTTTTTGGTAAGGGGAGGGGAATGGATGAGAGGAAGTCTAGTAAAATTTTTGTTTCATATCCGTTGAGAGAGATTGCAACTAATGCTCATTAAAGACTTGGCAGAAGCACGATATTCATTCATTCCGTAAACAAAATTTGAATATTGACTACTATTTGTTCGAGCAAAAAGGTTTCAAAATCATAGGATTGACCTTACGGAAGAGGACTCTCTCATTAGCGGTCATGAACCAGTAATGATCATGTCTAGAAGTGGACAAGTAGTTGCACTGCACTGTCTTTTAAGATATACTTAAATCTAGAGTAACTTCAGAAATTTTGTAATAAGGGAGAGGAAGATTAAACCGATTAAGCATTGTGAGTTTACAGATCAAGATAACAGGAATTGAACAGGGCCAGCTGATCGTTACGATTTTTTATGTTCTCTTCATTAGTATCCTTTCAAATTTGTTCCAATTCAGTGCTGTTTTTTTTCTTTTCTTACTGGTCACATTATTCTATTGCAAGTTTAGAATTAAAAGCATTTCAATTCCTGATGCAGGAAGATTTTCAGCAGGTAGAATCCCTACGGTTAAGCACAGATTTCGGTATACATAGGAAAAATGGAGAAAAATAATTTACTGCATAGGATATAAATTTGAAAAGAGGAGATTACCTGCATCTCTAATATACTATACTATTTTCTAAAGATATATGAACATTGTTAAAACGAAATATCAAGGGGAGTATTTGGTGTAATTGAAATTAAAATTAAAAATTAAAAATGTCGTCAGGAAGTGTGACCGAAATCTCTCTACTTCAATTTACATCACTTGTTCTACGTTTTCGTAGCAGTTATCCTGGAAATGTAATGTGAAAGTTATAATTTCGAATTAATGAATATTTAAAAAAAATTTTTTTTCTTTTTGTTTGTTGTATATTATGATGAAAGTAATATATCTTCAGTTTTTATCCTCCTTAAGAATTCACTGAAACAAAGATTCATTTCATTTCTTAAGAAATTTCCCAAGTAATTTCATTTCTTTATTCCAAGTTTACTTTAGTTAAATCTTTAATACTAAAACATCTCATAATTTTGTACAGTGCAATCAAATTTAAAACAGTTGGAAAAAAAACTTGAACTTTTTATATTTTTTGAAAGATCTATGAATAATCCTTTCAAATTTACCACTTACATTTTCCTAAAATTTAAATTTTTGAAGAATATGAAGTGATCATGTTTGACGACATTTTTGTCATTTCATAACAAAACAATCAAATCAAATAATCTTTAATTAATTAGTCAAGTGAAAGCTACTGGACTTTTCGTTTTAATCTTCTACAATTTACAACAGTCATATGGTTTATGGTTTATAATCCTGATTTTTAGCAAAGGATGGAAAATTAGTGCAAGCAAATGACATGAATATAAATTATTCAAATATTCTAACACTTTAAATAATTTATAAAATTTCAAATAAATTTCAGACAAACATATTTATAGGCTTGATGAGAATTTTTCAAAAAAAAAAGAGAAAAAGGGAAAAAACTGTTGAAATTATTGAAATGGTGAATTTATATATTTTTATCATTTTCGTATGTAATGATAATGTTCATTTGTTTCTTATCTTTTGTTATAATTGGGAAGCTTTTGTTTTTAGTTCTGCCATATACGGTTGTTTTTAATTGTGTAGAAGAATCTTTTGGGTGTAAATTTTTCAAAGTAAAATAATACTTTTAATCAATTTCACGATCTATCTTTGATAATAATAATGTGATCGTTTGATTTTTAAATTTATACTTTTTATTCATTTTGAATAATAAATTCATTTTACCTTTGTCTTGCAAAACTCTCTATTTTCATTTTAATGAAATAATTAATTAAAATATAATTGAAAATGAAAGGAAAATTTTTGCATTCATGATTTGATGATATATTCTTCTTTACATTTTTTTAGAAATTGCTTCAAAATTACCTGAATGTTCTTTGCCCTTTTACCTCCTTATAAAAAATTGTTTTGATGCTATAATACTGCTTAATGGGTGAAACTTGCTCAATTATATTGTAAGATTGATGAAGAAAATGAAAATAAGCAATTTGAAGAATTTCAAGGATTGATGTTTATCAAACCGCAATTTTCTCTTTTTGAAATTTCACACTTTTCGCTTTTAAATTGGTATTTTCTAAATTCTCCTTGCTTAGACGTAATTAATGATTTCTTTTAGGAATGGACGAAGAGGATAGATGATGCGGGATGGGGAAAGAGGGAAAGAAAGGGAATTTAATGCTTGGAATGAATGAACCAGAAATAAACAAAACTTTTAAAATAAATCAGTCAAAGTACTGTAATTCATGAAGTACCAACGCAAGCATAAATAAAATAAAGTGGTCGAGGTTCAGAAAGTATAGTGATATTTCATTCCCTTCTACTGGTAATTACCGGGAATTCTGAATCATTTCACATTATTTCTCAAGCATGAAGAAAACATCCGTTATTAGTGAAAATTTGTTCATTAATTCGATTTACTGCAAAATAAAAAAGAAAATGGTACAATGTACTGCCTAAATTTGCTAAAAGAATATTGCTGAAAGTGTACAAATACAATGCTAATGATAGTAGTGATAATGATGATGATAATGTTAATGATGATGATAAATTTAAGCTATAATAATCTTACTAATATGCGAATGGAATAATGAAAATAAAAATAAAAATTACAATAACTATTAATACATAATAATAATAATTCAAATTTAGATATCTACTAAGCTATACTGACGATTATAATACTTTAAAAATTGATACGGATAATTAACAATTGCGATTAATTTTATTAATGCTAGTGATGAAAAGACGACTCGTTTAGAAATCGTTTAGATTGTTTAGATCGTTTAGATTTTGAGTGGTAGCTTTGATTTGATAGTTTCACCACAGATATGCAACTAACCGACTGGTTATAAGCTCATATATACGTTTGATGCAAAATTTATATGAAAGATATAATAATGATATCATGCAGATCGTTGGCAACAATTAATTTTCGCTAAATTCTTCAAAAGAATTTGAAATTAACCATTTCATTCTTTATTGTTAAAAAAGAATGAGCAATAAATTAGCTGCTAATAATTGAATCTCTTAAAATAAAATAAAGGAGACAAAGCGTTAAAGTTATTTTATTTCACTAAATAACTAACTGTTCAAGCAGAAAGTTTCATTTCAATATTTCTCTTATTGTAAAAGAAATGATAGAATTCTTAAATATTTCATAGTTTGGAAATTATTTCCAACGGTTGCAGAATATAACGAGCGATTTATGTTTGAAAAAGAAGTATAGGAATTATTTTTGATTTGTCATAATTAATTTATCTTAAAAATGAAATCATGCAAATTCCAAGCATTCAAATATTTATTAAGTTAGGATATTTTTAAAAAGATTCTTTAAATTTCTAAAGCATACAAATATGTTAATTTTTTGTTTAAACTAATTAAAATTTTAAAGTCTTAGTTAGAATTTTGTTGCACATAAAACGATATTTTGATTATAGATAAAGAAAAAGATATTCCACAATTTTACGATAACAAATGGATCATTGATAGAATTGATTACTAATAGAAATAAGAATATTCATTTGTTTCTTTTTGTTTTATAATTCATATTTCTTGAAATATTTTTGATAAATATTAAGAAATCGATGAGGAATTTATCAAATTAATTTTATTAAAATTTGATCAAAGTAATTTCATTAAGTAATAAATTAAAAATATTTCAATAATGTTGAATGTTAGGTTTTCTTTATTTTAAAAACTTTTTTCAACCATTATCATCCAAGTTAGAATACAAAATGCTTGTTAAATTACACTACAGCTATATTTGAATTGCTTTTGCATAGTTAATATTTTCATTGATAACAGTATCACTTTTTTTTTTTAATCGTAGTATCACCAAATTATCACATCACTATTATCCTTTATGAAATGCATAAAAGTTCGGCAGTTTTGAAATTGATCATATCATGGATTAATTATTATCAGAGAGAAAATTTTCCCAAATTAACATTATCATTAAATCTTTGAATTTTATAATTTTGCAAATGAGAAATAATGATGATAAAATTACTCGAATAACTAACTCTTTTTCAATATCACAAAATATTTGAATTAATAAATAATTATTTGAATGAATCAAATTCACTTTATCAATAAATTTTTATGCAGTATTTGTTTTAATTAATTTAAATTTTAAATAATGAAAAATTATTTTCTGTTCAACTAATTATGCAACTATTTATAATTAATGCCAAAAAAAAAAGAAATTCAAAAGAAAACAAAACAAAAGTAATTTTAGAAAAAAAGATATAGGATGGTGTTGAATTTCGTAGGAGGGGAATTTAAACCCGTTCTTCAAGCTTTTCATTTACCATCCTCTCTCATACCCGTTCCTCCTCTCCTCCATCCATTTATCTATCATTTTCTATAACTTTGTGTATCACGGAAATAAACTTTAACGAGTGCAAAGCATCCCATATGATACAATGTCATCATACACAACACGTATGGCCAAGCAACATCTGATCATATTGGTAAATTTATCTTCTTATTAATTACAGAAATTTTTTACTTTTTTTTTTCCAAAATTTTATTCCATTAATTGATTTAATTATTATAAACAAATAAATTTAATTTTT